AAAAAGTGCATTTAAGTATTAAAATAACAACAAATGAAAAATGGTTTAAGTAAAACAAAAGATGAAATACAGTGCGTCAAAATGCAAACCTTTTTTTTACACAGGTAATCCCAAGATCGAAAAAGAACAGTTGCTTTGAGACTTCTTTCTCCCACTGAAATGTTGCATCCAGAGAAACTGAATTAGTTTTTGAGGAAAGCAAAGTTTAGTTCTTGACAGAAAGGATGTAAATAACTAATATTCACTTTGAACATTTCCACATCTTGCCATAGAAGATATCTTCTGTTCAAAAATTTCATTTCATTTCATTTCTTTATTTATTTCACACATGGTTCAACAGTGTTTCTTTTCCTACATACAGAACCTCCTTCCCATTAATATGACACTGCACCCATGGGTGAAAAGGAGCAGGAAGAAGAATAAATTCTTGTTAGCACCTGCCCCCTATCTGCAATCCAAATATTCTTACAAGAGGGCGCCAATACCCCCCCAAAAAACCCTCTAACATGTATCTTTATGTAACAATGCAAAACTAAACAACAAATCAATATAATCAGCAATATATAGCATTAAATGGCAATGAAAATTTTTTTCTTCCACATTTAGCCCTAATTACTTTCATGTTCTTCATACTGATTTATCCTTTTAAGTGTGTAACACATTTTAAAACGGTGCATGTTTGTACAACTCTTGAGATTATCTTCAAGAGAATTCCATATTTTTATACCTTTAACTGTCGGACACATTTGCCTTTGTGTGGTCTTAGCAAACTTATGCTTAAAGTCAAACTTCCTTCTACTGTCCCCACTTCCTGAACACAATACAAACACGCGTTTTGTCTGATACCCTCCAACCTCAACCTCAGTTTGTGCATTTTTCCAGTTCAAGGCCAATAAGACGAGACTGATCAGGGTTTGTTTAAGCAGTTTTTGTTGTTGTTTCTTTCAAAAACATCAAAATTCATATAAAAAATGTTCCTCTGTTCCTCAGGCTTGTATTATTAAGCGTGTTTGTATCAAATTACATCAAACACCAAATGTGCAATCTGTCAGCGGGAATTCACATTTTGTGGGAAAGTAAAACTGAACATTGTAATTTAGCTGTTCTGTGATGATTTTATAATAACAGTTACACACTTC